AGTAGTTCCTCAAGAGGTTTAAACAAAGAGTTACCATTTGATCCAGGCAATTCTACTCCTAGGTATATACCCAAAAAGGAAAGCATTTGTATAGGCAATGTTCAAAAGCAACATTATTCAAAATAGCCCAAAAGTGGAAATAACCCAAACTGATGAATAAAATGTGGTACATTCATACTGTGGAATATTATTTGGCTGTAAAAAGAAATGAAGTACTGATACATGCTACAACATGAAAGAACCCTGAAAGCATCAGGCTATGTAAAAAGAAAACAATCATGTTCATTCCATTTATATGAGATATTCAGACTAGAACCCAAATCCATAGGGCAGTATGTACCTTAATAATTGCTTAGAGCTAAGAAGAAAGTGAGGTAATAAGGAAAGACTTCATTTATAGGTTTCATTTTGGAGTGATAAAAATGTTTAAAATTAGATAGGGTAACGTCCCCATAACTCTGAATATACTGACACCCACTGAATTGTATACTTTAAATGTACAATGTGGATTTTATTTCAATAAAGCTGTTTGGCGGGGGGGAGGGGGGGGGGTTGTTTTGTTTTTTAAAAAGACCCTTACTAGAACTCTCCTGCACTACTGGTGGGAATGCAAACTAGTATAATCACTATGGAAAACTGTTTGGAGGTTCCTCCAACTGTTAAACATGAAGCTTCATTATGACCCTGCAATCCCACTCCTAAATTTATCTTCCTAAATGACACAAAAACACTGATTCAATGACACCTACACCCCATGTTTATTGCAGCTTTATTTACAATTGGAAAGACATGGAAACAACCCAAATGCCCAAAAGTAGATGACAGGATTAAAAAGATGTGGTACATATACACAATGGAATATTACTGGCAACCAAAAAAAATAAATACATGCCTTTTGCAGCAACATGGATGAAGCTGGAAAAGATCATGCTTAGTGAAATAAGCCAGAAAGAAAAGGAAAAATACTGATGATTTCACTCATTGCAGGAGTATAAAGGACCAGGGAAGAAAATAATAATAATAATAATGAACAACTATATACCAGAGACAATTTACAGGGGTGCGATGGGGAATGGGATCAAAAACAGTGGGGGGAGGGAAGTGCATTGGACTATGGTGATGGCACATGGGTGATTTGGTGATGGGAAGCCCACGGGGATTACAACTGAGATGGAAAAGGCACAAAATGATGTAAAATTAACTATTATGTTATTTTTAAAATAATAGTAAAAAATAAAAAGAAAGTAAACCAAAAAAGACCCTTACTAATACTCTAAACTTAAATGAAATATATGTACTTGTCACATTTTCCAGTCTCTCTACAGTTAATATATCATGCTAATAGAAGCCAGATTTAAACAGCCAAACTTAGCTACCTATGCCATACCACGCCTGGTATCCAGTATATACAAACTTTCTCCAATTTATGGAAAATTCTAGGTTCACTTTAGCATCTTCAATCTTCTTAAGAGGATTTCCCTCAAAAAGCAATAAATTTTCACTTAATTTTACAATTCCATTAAGTTGATAATTACTTTTTTTCAATCAAGGTCTTGGATTTACTATCAATATTTCCGTATTTTTTAATATGCAACAGAACTGACATCACAGATATTAAGTCACATACTCTTAAGGATGTGTCATTATAAACAATCATAAAAAAAGATTAAAAAATCATTACAGAATTTTTTAAAAAAGGTTTATTTATGCATAGAGAACTGGGGTCCAGGCCAGAGCTACAGGGGTGAGAGGATTCACCAGAGACAGAGTGGGGAGCAGAACAGGCAAAAGTACTGAAATATACTGCTGAGGGGAGCAGCAGGCAGGTAAGGAGAGGGCTGCCATGCCATGTGGGTCATCTACCTGGCTGGGGATGGAACTCAGGGTAACAGTTTGATAGCCCTGAGACTTAACTCCTTGTGCCACCAGAGAGGACCCCCACTATAGAATTTTCAACTAAAGAAACCATTTAGTAAAAGCCTAGAGCCCCCCCTTTTTTTTTAAGTTTAAATAAACAAATGTAAGGTCTAAAAAAGAAAAACGTTTTTCAGAAAAAAAGTTAAGATTTTAAATATAGTTCTATAATATAAAATATTCCAAGTACTGTCAACATTAATGTCTTCTTTTCCCTTGCACAATATGAATTTAATGACTTGTTCTTGATTTCAATGTACAGATTTCCTCCTCTTTACCTTATTTTATTAAAGGCTCTCAAAAAGCATTCCATACATATAAAACATACTGTTCTAATCTTTCAAGTAGCTGAATTCTGTAAATGAGCTAATTCTGACAATTATGTCAGAGCAAATTGTCAGTATTTTAACCATGTAGTTAGCAGAATGCTTTATAGTTTATGATAATAAATTTTATTTATTTTGTTATTCCATACTCTGTACATCATGTAATTTTCAACCATAAAATACCACACTCAAACATAAGAATTTAAGTTAAAATCCAAGTAATTATCATTCAAATAAGGTTAGTGCCTTGCAAATAGTCTGTGTCCAGCACATTAACAGGTACCAAATAAAAGTTTACTTAATGAAATGAACAGTGGTAGCTTAGCAACAGCAGAAGCAATGGGATCTTCTCCACTCATTTCTATCTTTCTAAAGAAGTTGATATAAAATTATCATAATGTAACATACAGTTATCTCCTTAAAGAATGAAAAAAGGAATTAGGAACTGGAAGAGAAATAATAGTCACAGAAAAAAAATTTATATTTTTAAAGGGCAAGCTACTGGATTAATCATAGAAGCCTTAAAGGGAGATCTAACATGTTCCACTCAATTAACAACACTTGTCTGACCCTGCCTTGTAACAGTTAATTAAACATGCCCTGCTTCCACAATTAGCTAGTTGCTACCAGAGGCCTTGGTCATTTTGTGTTTCCCAGAACACCAAAGACGGGAAACTTAATATTAATAACTAAAAATGTGTAAAGGTCTTTCACAGATTACAAATTTTTCTCAGCTGCATCTACCCTAAAAACTTTGCAAGGTAAATAAATAACTATCTGCATCTTACAGAAAATAACAGTAAGATCCAAGGAGAACACAAACTGAGTAACCTTACTAACTCCACAACTACCACATTGAATCAGCTGACCCTCTTTTCTAAGATTATAACACCATTATCTGTGACATGAGAAATAACTGTGTTGCCACTTAGGATGGATAGTTTTGCTACAAAACAGGTATTTTTCATTCAACTTAGCAAACTTACCATATATATCAGTGATTTTCAAATTCTAGTAGGGATAAGAATTCAGGTAGCTTGATAAAAATGAAGATCCTCAAGCTGTCGCCATCATCCCCAGAAATTCTAATTCAAGGGGGCAGGAATCTAGCGATTTTAAATAAGCAGTTCCAGCTGATAATCATATTGATAGCCTTTAGATATACACTGAGAACTGAGCTAGACTTTTTGAAACCTAAGTTAATGCACCAAAAGTCTTTTCAATCAAGCCAACTTTTCAGTCACAGATAGTTAAGCAAAATCTCACAAAATATAGGGATACTACCTCTAACAGAATAGGTTTCCAAAAACATTTATTACACCAAATCTCCCTAGGCCTCAGAAGTATTTCTCCCTTGCTGAAAAGGTAAGTCAAGCTCTTTTAGGTAGTTACCACATTATTCTGTTCTAACTGATTAATCTAATTGATTACACTTAGTAATGTACTTTTAGTAATCATTGCATTACTATGACTGCAATGTAGTTCAATAAAACGTCTGTATAGGTTTCATACAAATGTATAAGGATGTTAAATGGTACAACAGAACAGTTAACTTTACACTTAATATACAAAAATAATAATTTTTAAATCACCAACAGAACAAGTCACTTTAAACTTTAAACTGACTTTTCCACAGTTACTAAATCTTTACATGCCAGTAACTTCTGTACTTTCCCAATTATTAACAATAAGCATATTCGGGTTTTTTTTTTTTTTTTGATGATTAGAAAGCTTTAGAAATACATATTCTACATCCCTCACACACAGGAAAACCAAAACCTGTGACTACACTTATCAACAACCATAACTACTCAAATACCTAACTTATAAAGGTATCAAAGTGTAATCACTAACTTTTACATAAATACCAAAACAAATTTAACTTCTAAAATTTACAATAGGTCTTATTTCCACCAGGTATCTGTTATTAGGATAGTTGGCACGACTTTTTAAAATCCTCCTGTCATCCAGTCTCTGGATCTATTGAGGGAGGGACATATTTTCAGGTGGGAACTAAGCATTAAAATATTTACTGGGGGGGGGGGGGAGGGAAGCGTTACAGATCTGTGCTGGGGGAAGGGAGAGAATCTTTTAGTAATTGTATTTATCTAGTAAACTTAACATCGCAGATATGGAACGGGCTTTCTTCAGAGCAGACCACGCTTGGAGACAAAAATCTAATAGGAAGACAGGGACGAGTTACCCGCAGGGGAAGAAAATTCAGCTAATAAGACGCAAAAGGTTGTTCTCAACCCAGTCTGATAGGCGAGGAGTGCGAGGGGTTCTCAGGGCCCCTCACTTTTCTGCACTCTTAATTCTCAACCAGTCCTCCCGCCCCTCCCCCCGGGACTCTGCGGGACTCTCTTTGGGGCGCGGAAAAGCCGAGGCTGTTTGCAAACAGCGTCCTTCGCCTCCCAGCCGAATATACGCGCAAGGCCGGTGTTACGAGGCTGCGCTGGGCCCCGACCCGGGGCCACCTCAAGGGTGCCAGTGTCCCCACTCGCCCCCAGCTCCACACACCGGGCCGCACCGGAACCGAGGCCGGGCCAAGGGCTTCTCAACGGCGCGGGGCCTAGTCGCGTCCCACGCGCCTCCAGCCTCCCCGGGGACGCGGGGGGCGAGAGCTGAGGCCCCCCAGCCCTGGGTGGGGGAGGCGGCCAAGCGCAGGACGCCCGGTCAGCCCGGCCCAGGAGCTGCCGCCAGGGCCCTCCCGGGTGGCCGAAGGCCGGCGAGCCCGGGACCCAGCCGCGCCACACTCACCTCGAGCTGCGGCTGCCGCCGCCTCAGCATGACCAGGGGGGTCGTCCCTGAGCCGACAGCCTCCTCCGGAGGGCACCAGCGCTGCCGCGAAGCCTCCCACTCCTGAAGAGGCTGTGGTCGCCGCTGCTGCTGAGGCCCAGCGCCCGCCGAGCCGCATCGGGCTCCCGGGCCGGGGCAGCCACGCGGATCCCGGAGGAGCGCCGCGGAGCCGGGCGGGGGGCGCGAGGCTGCGGCGGGACGACCGAGGTGCTGCAGGAGGGGATCCTCCGCGAAGCCTCCAGCGTCTCCGTGGCCGCTCCTGCCGCCGGCGCCGCTGAGCCACAGCGCCCCCTGGACCCCACGCCGGCTACGGCGAGGGGACTGCGGCGGCCGCCCGGGCACGAGCGGCAGGGAACGGGCGGGAGCGCGGCCTGGGGATGGCCTCCCCGCGCTCCCGGCGCTCCCGCCGCCCCCGGCCCGCCCCTGAGGACGCCCCTCCGGCGCCGGAAGCCCCTCGGTCAGAGCCAACCCTGGCGGGTTCTCTCGCACACGCGGTTCTCGGACCCCGCGCACCTTTGCACCTTTTCCTTCTCACCACAAAGTACGTAAATGTTCCTTTCACTCAGACCCTCACCTGAGAGCAGGAGTGTGAAGGAATGTCTTTTTTCATCTCTCGTGTTTCTCGAGGGGTCCCTTCTTGTCCCTTCAGTGCGCCTGGGTGAAAGAAGAGTGACCCAGAACAAACCCGTTTGCACACGAACACGCATACAAACGCACTTCTCTTGCAAAAACAGATGGAGGGGATTGTCTTTGACCTTAAGTTTTTATGGATGTACTGCGCTGATCACTATAAAAATTGCCAACAGATACCAAACCTTTAACCCCTAAGGCTCCCCCAAAATAGAGAAAAATGATAATGCCAAACAAGAAGAGAGACTGGTTAACGAGTTGTCCTGAAATGCATAAACAACTTCAAGGTAAGAAAAGAACCATCCATTTTTTTTTCTGACCAACCCCACGTCTACTCGCCTACCTTTCATCTCCCTGCCCCTGCTAAATCCCAGGTAAGGCTCAGAAGAAAGGAACTAACTAGTTATATAGTGGATACTGTGGAATCATTCGGTTTACAAGATAACCCCACATTTGATCCCAGGCATATTCTAGAATGCATACATCAGAACCAAAAACAAAAGAAACAAGAAGACTACCAGAAAAGAAACAGGGAAAGAAAGCAATTTTTACAAATCCTCTGGTCCCCAAATTTTCCAGACATTCTCTTATTATAGAGTGGTACAGAATGAGCAGTGATGTTGGTGACAGACAGATCCCGATATTACCAATTCCAGTTCTGTTTATGACTCTGGGCTAGTTATATAATATTTCTGAAACTCGTTTTTCTAAAGCCTAACTTGCTGATTGTTGTAAAAATTGTACATAATTTATGTAAAGGACTGACCCATAGAAGGTACTCAATGTTAGCTCTGATTATTGGTTCCAAAACAACCTCCGTTCTTCCTGAGTCAAGATTGTTCTCTTCAATGATTCCTTCTCTCTTGCTCTCTCGCTCCGTGTATGTATGTATAATGTGTTCCTGTCAACAAGCAGTGTATCATTCTTCAGTATTCCTGATCTGGGTAAAATTTCCCTAATGGATTTATGTAATGATCATTCACTAAAAAAATTAGAGCCTGATACACTGAATCCTATGACTTACTATTACATATTAGCATAGAAACAGTGTATTTTTCTGTCTAACACAAATTATAAGGCAGTCTGACCTTAACTTAGGTTATGTCCTAATAATAAATCTTAATGAGAAAATTATATAAGGTCTCTGGAAACTTTCAAATAATAATTGAGTAGCCACCTTAGAGAAAATGAGCCTAACAGCTCTCTTCCAATCAATGAAAGCTGTTTTATACAGTCTTTTTCCTTAAAAAAAAAAAAAAAAAGGATTTATTTATTTACACATACAAGAGGTGGAGTACAGGCCAGAGGTGGGGGGTGGGGGTTTGAGGGATAATGTGAAAGGATTCACCAGAGACAGAGTGGAAAGCAAAACAGGCAGATCTACTAAAATACACTGCTGAGGGGAGCAGTGGTTGAGACCTGAGGTCTGCAGCTTCATGTGAGTCAGCTCCCTGGCTATGCTGCAGATTGCTTCACAGTCCTGAAACTTAACCTCTTGCGCCACCAGTTCCTATATAATCTTGAGTGTGCCTTTACTGCCTACTCTGAGTCACATTACAAAAAATCACTATCCCCTTTTTATAAAAAGTGATGATTCATGAGCACATAACTCTATGAATTAAGTACTATACTACCACCATTTAACATGTGCACTATATCCAACCTCAGGAAAAGCTGGAAGTAGATCTCTGAGATTCCTTCAGTGTCCCAACTGATTCCCTAACAGTTCTTTCTGCAACATTCAAAAAGTGGTGTTAGGGTAAGTTAGTGTTGCTAAAAATTTTCAATCTAGAGAAATGGGTACTTTTAGTAAAATTGGTTTGGCAACTTAACATTAGCTCAGTGCTTTCCAAGCCTAGTTCACAAGCAGGAAATTTGCATTTATTTATGAATAGTCATGATACACAGGGTGTAGCTACTACATGAAGATGATTCATTTGTTCCCAGGACAAGTTTCCTCTTGCTTCACACTTTCTCCCCATCTATTCAGACTATTTTGTTGAAAGACATTACCTTTATCATCACTACCATCTCCCTGATCATCTAATCCTTTCATCTTCTACAATTTTACTTCTTCATTTTGACTGTTCCAACCGTTTGCTCTTTCCTTGTGAAATCTCTCTCACCTGTTTTCCTCTTCTCTGTTGCAAATTTCTTTTTCACTAGTATACCCTGACCTGCAGTCAATTGATTTGGTTACCCTATTCTCAATTTCTCATTGACTTCCAGTACTATCCAAGACTCTAAAATATCTCCTTAGTTCCAACCTGATAAACCCCCTCCATCTTTCACATTCATACATTAACACTGTAAAAGCGACTGTTACTTTTTTTAAGATTTATTTATGCTTCAAGAGCTGGGGTGCAGGGCAGAGGTATGGGGGTGAGAGGATTCACTAGAGACATTATGGGGAGCAGAACAGGCAGATCTACTGAAATAGAGGAGGAGAGCTGTGGATGAGATAGGAGAGGTCTGTTGTACCGTGTGGGTCACCTCCCTGGCCAGGGATGGAACTTGTGCTGTAGTGGTTGTAAACAGCATCATAGTGCTATGAAGAAACCCCTTGAGTCATCTGGGAGACCCTGAGACTGGTTCTATTTAGTAACGACTATGAATATATCCTGTAGAAAACCAGTACTGTGGTGGGCCTCCTTGGTGGCAGAGGTTAACTTTCCGCACTATCAAGCTATCAACAGCCACTTGGCATGAGTTCAATCCCTGGCCAGGGAACTGAACCTCATGGCACTGTAAACCTCTCCTGTCTCAACTGCTGCTCCTCTCAGCAATGTATTTCAGTTCTGCTTCCTACTCTGTCTCTGGTGAATCCTCTTATCCCCCACATCTCTGGCCTAGACCCCAGTTCTTATATGGATAAATAAGTATTAACAAAGCTTTAAAAAAAAAAGTATTCTGAGAATGATTTTCTCCAAGTTTAAGCTGTAGCACCCAAACAAAATTTTCTTTGCTTTTTAAAATTTGTTCTTTGTTTCACTTATCTTCCATCAAACCTCCTATGCCAGTGCCTTAAACTTGACCACATGCGGAGATGTAAAAATGTAACCTCAAAGTTATATAGACATATAAATGACCATAAATCTAATTTTAAAATAGTAAAATTTATTCAAAGTCAGTGTTTGATTCATCTCTATGTCCCCACAAATAATCAACACAGGGTATCACTCAGGAAATGTTAAACTGAACTGAAACTCATCACACTCTGCATCCCATCTACTCAGTGACTTTTTAGGCCCTTCCTCTTATCTTTCAGGGCATACCAAAGATGACTGCTTTGCATCACAGAACTGTCCTAGGCCTGCTATTGCCAGCTATGGTCTCTCTCATGCCCTCGGCATTCTCTAACCACTTCCAGGATCCAAAGACAGAATTCAATCTGTTACCAAAAATGTGAACCCCAGAATAGGCCAGAAATCAGGTGAGTAACACAAACTTAAGAAGAAATTGGGAGCATTTGAAAGTTTGTCGGGTCAATTGTGTTACTTAAAAAAGAATAAAGCAGGGGCCTCCCTGGTGACATAGGGTTTAAATCTCAGTACTATGAGGTCTCCAGAGGTGGGTCTCCAGCCAGGGAACTAACCTATTGGCACAGAAGACTACTCCTGTCTCCCCTGCTGCTCCCCTCAGCAGTATGTTTCAATCTGCCTATTCTTCTCCTCACTTTGTCCTCACTCTGTCTCTCAGGGGTATAGGTCACTCATACCTCAGTTCTTCTATGCATAGATAAACAAGTCTTTAAAAAAATTATAACTTAAAAAGAATAAAGCAATTTTAGGAATTAAGCATAAAAATTGTCAATTATGTGGGCAAAAATATATGCAGAAAGAATTCTATCTTGTATATTTGTGGCATAATTAAGTGAAGAACCCTTAAATAAGTGTATTACAGTATCTCCATACAAAGACAAATTTTGCATTCATTATCAATTGTGGGTGTTTAAAGATTTATTTATTTATGCATACAGAACTGGGGTATAGGCCAGAGATGCAGAGGATGAGAGGATTCACCAGAGACAGAGTGGGGAGCAGAACAGGCATATTGACAAAGTATACTGCTGAGAAGAGCAGCAGGCAAGACAGGAGAGGTCTGCCAAGCCATGTGGGTCACCTCCCTGGCCAGGAATTGATCTCATGCTATGATGGCAGTGATAGCTTCATAGTGCTGTGCTTTAACCCAATGTGCCACCAGGGAGAGCCCTATGGGTTCTTTTTTTTTCCTAAGATTTATTTATGCATACAGAACTGGGGTGCAGGCCAGAGATGCTGGGATGGGTTGGGGTGGGGTGAGAGGATTTACCAGAGACAGAGTGGGGAACAGAACAGGTGAATATACTGAAATACACTGCTGAGGGGAGCAGTGAGTCAGGAGAGGACTGCCATGCCATATGGGTCACCTCCCTGTCCAGGGACTGAAATCATGCTGTAGTGGCTGTGAATCATGTCATAGTACTGCACTCTTAACACACTGTGCCACCAGGGAGGTCCCAACAATTGTGTTTTTAATAAAATTTAAATGACATTGAAAACTTGTATGATTCAATATCAAATTAGGTAAAACAGTGTTAAGTAAAAAAAGATTATTGTAAGATATCCATTATAGTC